CCAGGTTCCCTTTCCACACCCATGCCTGAGCCTGCTGAGGCTTCTTTCATCTTCTGGGCCTTCTCTGCACCTCTGATCTCCCACCCACTCCACGATGATTGGGAGTACATAATTCTTTTCTCCCTTCCCCAGGAGCAGCGCAAAACCACATGGGATGCCATCTGACATCTCCAGCTTTGAACTTTAGGTAGAGGGAGACCTTGTGGTTATCTGGCTATTGTGATGTCAGTTTCTCCCTGCCTCTAACAAGAGGTGTGATGTGGGTGGACGTTGGGCCTTAGCAAAGCAGGACGCATACATCACCACTCCTATTGGCATGCCTGGCAACGAGCAGGCCTGGTGCACTGCCTGCCTCCTGCATAATGTACGAGCCTGTGGTAGGAACAGAACACCATCAGTGGCAAGTCTGACACTGCAGGCTGTGGACGTGTCTGGAGGCCTTGCCAAGGCTGACTCTCTGTTGGCAGGGGCTGAAGAGGGGGAGGATGTGTCACCTGAGGCCTTTCCTGGGGCTGAGGTGGGAACTGGCCTGTCTTGGTCCGTGGGATTCTGTCAGACAGACAGACAGCCCTAAGAAGGCAACCTGGCTGTGCCTTAGAATCAACAATGGTGACATTGGGGACAGCTAAACTCCTGTTTTCTTGGCTTAAAACTCCCTCTGAGAAGGCTAGAGGTGGCAGAGGGAGTGGCTGGGACCTTCTCAGTGTGGTCGAAGGTGGGAGGGGAGATTTGGGACCCAGGAACACAGACCCGGGCAACTTCCACAGCTGCCTTGGGTGTAGGAAATCCCTAGCTGCAGTGAGGGACATCAGGTGGAGAGCATGGATGAGAGGAGGTGTAAGGTGGCACTGCTTTCAGGGGAAAATGCCAGGATGCAGCAATCGTGTAGGAGGTCCGGGGCCTCCCTGGGAGGTTTCCCTTTTTATAAAGTGTCCATGTGTGCATGTGTGCAAGCATTTGTGTGTGGAACCAAAAGGTTAGGAATGAAAGAGGGAGGTCTGTGTGTCTTAAAAGCCAAGGGAACCAGGGCATCTGGATAACAACACTTCACTAGTGCATAGAGTTGGATTCGACTCATTCACAGCACCAGTGAGTATTCACAGGGCCCTCAAGTCTAGGCCGAGTGTTAGCGCTTGGGCTGGGGAGAAAAATCGGACCAGGTCCCAGGCATTAGCAGTCTAATTTGAGAGCCGGCCTCTGAAGTAAAGAATTCAAACACCTGGGGGATCCAATCAAGATGGCGGAATAGACGGATCACAGCGTCACTCTCTCCCACAAATCAACCAAATTTGCAACTATAAAAATGTAACGTCAGCCAAGCTGGGGCAGCTGGAGCTCAGGGGAAGAGGAGGAGAGACCGACAGAGTTCATGAAGGCGAGAGAAACTACGATGGGAGAAAGAAAAAGCTGCTCCGAGCATTTCCGGCCCCGGCTGCTTTAAGGCTCGAGCTGCTGAGTGCATGGAGCAGGAGCTGGCAGAAGCTGCAGCTGTGCCCTTGGGATGGAGTTACTTGGAGGTAGCAGGAGAGAAGAGGGCCTTGGTGGCCCCCAGGACAGTAAGACCGCTAGTAGGGTTCACGTGGACCCACGCAGCAGTGAGGAACCAGAACAACTGAAAAAAAGGAGCCGTTCAGAGGTCGGTGAGTCATTGCAAGGGACCAGCGCAGGGCCTGTCCCATGGGAAGTGTTTGGAGCACGGGCGGTGGGGGAGACGGGCCCACCGGGAGAACACTGGGACAAAGCAAAGACAGCTGATCTGCCCCCCAATCAGCACAAGACCACTCAGAGGAGACTGGTCAGGAATGCAGAATTCCATGGGGTGCAGTTTGATGAAAAAACTCAGGCCCAGATCAGAGATTCTACAGAACACAGATCCACCAGGTCTCTGGAGAGTTGGAAGTACCTATAATATCAGCCATTAAACCCTGAGCTGCACAAAAATCCTTCCCTAGGGAAACAGCAGCAAAGTAGCAACTTAAACAACCACACAGCTCAAGTACTGGTTCCCACAGGAAGTTCCCCCATGTTAGAAGCAAAGGACAAAAAATTAGTTCCAGCCCAGGCACACCACCAGCACCTTGGGGCCTGCCTGGGAACTGGAGGCTCGGATATGGGGACTGGACCCCACTTCCACTTCCAGGCAAACCGCACCAGAGCCTCGGGGCCAGCCCTGCCTGGGAACCAGAGGCTTGGATCTGGGGATCGGACCCCACTCCCACTTCCAGGCAAACTGCACCAGTGCCTTGGGGCCAGCCTGAAGACCTGAAGCATGGAGAAGGGGACTGGACCCCCCTCCCACAACCAGGCACACCACACCAGCACCTTGGGGCCTGCCCAGGGACCTGAGGCAGGGAGAAGGGGACCTGACCTTTCTCCCACAACCAGGCACACGGAGCCAGCACCTTGGGGCTCACCCAGGGACCCAGAGTATGGAGTTGGGGACCAACCAGACCACCCTCCTACAAATAGGCATAACATGCCAGCACCTCGGAGCCCACCCAGGGACCCAGGGAATGCAGAAGGGGAGTGGACCTCTCTCCCACAACCAGGCACAACATGCCAGCACCTCAGAGCCCACCCAGAGAGCTGGGGCAAGGAGAAGGGGACCGGAGCTCTCTCCCACAACCAGGCACACTGAGCCAGCACTTCAGGACCCAGGAAGTGGAGAAGGGGACTGGACCTCTCTCCCACAACTAGGCGCACTGAGCCAGCACCTTGGGGCCCACCAAGGGACCCAGGGCATGGATTCGGGGACCAGACCTCTCTCCCACAACCACGCACACTGAGCCAGAGCCTTGGGGCCCTCCCGGGGACCCGGGGTATGGAGTTGGGGACCGGACCTCTCTCCCAAAACCAGGCACAACATGCCAGCAACTTGGAGCCCACCCAGGGACTTGAGGCAAGGAGAAGGGGAATGGTCCTCTCTCCCACAACCAAGCACACCATGCCAGTTCTTCAGGGCCTGCCTGGGTATCCAAGGCATGGAGAAGGGGACTGGACCTCTCTCCCACAACCACACACACTGAGCCAGCACCTTGGGCACCACCCAGGGACCCGGGGTGTGGAGAAGGGGATCAGACCTCTCTCCCACAACCAGGTACAACATGTCTGCAGCTCGTAACCCACCCGGGGACCTGGGGCATGGAAAAGGGGACCAGACCTCTCTCGCACACCCAGGCACACCACGTTAGAGCTTCAGGGCCTGTCCAGGTACCTGAGGCATGGAGACAGTAAACAGAATCCCCTCCCACAACCAGGCACACCATGCCAGCACCTTGGGGCCTGCCCAGGGACCCAAGGCAAGGAGAAGGGGAACGGACCTCTCTCCCACAACCAGGAACACTGAGCCAGTGCTTCAGGGCCCACCCGGGGACCTGAGGCATGGAGAAGGGGACCGGACCATCCTCCCACAACCAGGCACACTGAGCCAGCGCCTTGGGGTTCACCCAGGGACCCAGGGTCTGGAGTCAGGTACCGGACCACTCTCCCACAAGCAGGCACAACATGCCAGCACCTCGGAGCCCATCCAGGGCCCCGGGGTGTGGAGAAGGGGACTGGACCACTCTCCCACAACCAGGCACACCAAGCCAGTGCCTTGAGGCATGCCCATGGTCCCGGGGCATGGAGAAGGGGACAGGACCACCCTCACACAATCAGGCACACCATGCCAGCACGTCAGAGCCCACCCAGGGACCCAGGGCATGAAGAAGGGGACCAGACCTCTCTCCCACAACCAGGCACACCAAGCCAGCACCTTGGGTCCCACTTGGGGACCTGAGGTATGGAGCCAGGAACCAGATCCACAATAACATGCACCACACCAGTACCTTGGGGCCCACTCAGGGACCCAAGGCAAGGAGAAGGGGACTGGACCTCTCTCCCACAACCAGGGACACCATGCCAGCACCTCAGGGCCTGCCCGGCCCAGAGGCATGCAGAAGGGGACTGGCCCTCTCTCCCACAACCAGGTACACCAAGCCAGGGCCTCAGGTCCTGCCCAGTGACCTGAGGTATGGAGCCAGGGACTGGACCCTCCTCCCACAACCAGGCACATGGTGCCAGAACCTCAGGGCCCGCCCAGATACCTGGGGCATGGAGAAGGGGACCAGACCACCCTTCCTCAACCAGGCACACTGTGCCGGCACCTCAGGACCTTCCCAGGGACCCAGGACATGGAGAAGGGGACTGGCCCCCTCTCCTACAACTAGGCTGTGTGACCCTATGCTCTGGTTCAGGAACCTTCAAGAGATCCTATGTGGAGCCTTGAAAGAACGGATGGGGCACAAAATCTTGTTTATATATTTATCATCTGACCCCTCTCCTCCAGTAGAATGTCAGCAACACCAGGGCAGGAGATGAGCCTTATTCTCTGCTAGAGCCCCAGAGCTTGGCGCCCGGCTGGATGGTATTGACAGGCTGCTGAAGCATGTGGGCTTTATCCCGGAGTCAGTGGGAAGTCTCTGGAGGTTTTGAAGTAGAAAAGGAGCAAGATATGATGTGAGTGGTGGGAAATCACTTTGACAGTGATGTGAAGATTGTAAAAATGGCATAAAAATGGAGAAGTGGGGTCAGATTGAAAAACTATTGATAATCCTATACAATTAACAGTTAGCTTTGATTTTCACAATATCCCTGTGAGGCAGGCGTTTCCCTCTTTTGCAGATGAGGAAATGGACTCAGCGAGGCTCGGTGACTTGGCCGAAGTCACACAGCGAGTTGCTGGTGCGGCCTGGAGGTTCGGTCCTTCCTTTGTAGCCCTCAGGGCCCCGGGTGCCTCCTCCGACGTGCAGCATCTGATGAGGATCCGAGGTAGGACAGCGGCGGCAGGAAGTCGCTGTCTCCATCTAGTCGCCGCGGGACAGCCCCGAGGACGGCGGTTAGGAGGAATGGGGTCCGCCCAGGATCGGGCGGGAGAAGCGCGGCGGGAATGAGGAGTTTGGGTCTCGGCGGCCGCCGTAGGGGCGGCGTTCTGGTCCCCATGGTAACAGCAAGACGCAGCCGAAGGCTTCTGGGCGCTGCTGATGCAACCGCCGATGGACCCAGCGCAGCGCGGGATCCGTGGACTTCCCGCGGCCCCGATGGTGCAGGTGGTGGGGCTGCGGGGTCGGAGGCGGCTCGGGTGTGGGGATAACAGATGGTGCGGCTCGGGCCGGGCTGGGGCCTGCGAGGAAGGCTCCGCCCTCGAATCCCCAGGCCCCCGGATTCCCATTGTCTGGACCAAAGGGCGTCGCTGGGACTCAGTTCCCCCAAACGGGAAGTGGGAAGAAGAGAGTGGGCACCCCATTCTAACTCCCTCTCAGCCCCTGAGGCCCAGGACCCTCTCTCTTCTCTCCTCTGCAGCTCCCGGACTGCCTGGCGCCGCCCTGCTCCATGGACGTGAGTCCAGGCCCCTTCCCCTCTCTGGCGCGTCCTCTCAACGCCCTCCAGTCACTCTGAGCTTGCCTGCCTTCGAGCCCGGACTGGGCAAGGGGCTTCTTACCCAACACAGACCTTTCCAGCTAAGGGCAAGAGCTGTGAGAAAATGCCATGGATGGATTTCCCACGGGGGACACATTTCCGGTGTTCCCGGCAAGATGAAGAGTTTAGCGAGTAATCCAGGAGAAAAGGCACTTCAGGCAGAGGAAGCAGCGGGGACAGAGATCTGGGGGTGAGATAGAGGGTGGGGCATTTGGGGAACTGGTAGGACTGCAGTAAGGCTGGAGTGTAGAGGGGGCGGGAGGGAGAGGTAGGCGGGGCTGGATTGGGGGTTTGTCATTGAGTCATTGGGAGCCATTGATGGATGGTAAGGAAGGGAGAGATACACAGGCAGAGCTGGTGTGGAAAGAGGTCGGTTGGAAAACAGTTAAGGACTGGGAATGTGGGCTGAGGGATGGCAATGTGGAGTCAGAGGCAAGAGACCTGGTTGCAGAGGCATTCAGAAAGGAAGATCAACAAGTCTCAGAAGACTCTAGCATGACCAACAAGTACTTGATGGTGATGAAATTGGGATGACTGGAAAAAAGGCAGGTTTGGGGGACAAGATAGTGAGTCAGGGTGTAGTCCTATTGACTCCACACCTTCTAGTGGTTGTTCCTCCCCACAGCGACCTCTGTGTCCCTCCTGGTATTCCTGTGTTCCTGCAGTCCCTCTCCACTTCCCTGTCACCCCTTCCTCCTGTGCTCATCCAGGCCTTCTCCAGCCAGTGGAATCCAGCCCCTGTTCCTGTCAGCAGCCCTTCCCTGCTGCTCCCCATCCCTGCCATCGTCTTCATTGCTGTAGCCATCTATTTGTTGCTGCTGGGCCTAGTGCTGCTGACTAGGCACTGCCTGCTGGTGAGGGGGCTGTCGGGGAAAAAGGGTGGGCTCTGGGGAAGAGGCACCCAGTCGGTCTGTTCCCTTATCTGCAGGCTCTTACCCTGAGACACCTTTGCCATTTAGTCTCCACATCTATTCCTTTTGAGGGACCAGAGGGTCCCCTCATCTCCTGCCCCAGCTGAACCGTCTCCTGCCCATCTCCTAAAAGCTGAGTCTTGGCCACCTCTACCTGCTGCCTTGCCCAAGTCATCCTGAGCCTTGCCATCTCCTAGGCCCAGGGCCGCTGCACAGACTGCAGCTCCCCCTGCAGGAAGCAAGGTGCCTCGGGGCCACAAGATTGTTGCTGGACCTGTGCAGAAGCCTGTGACTTCCCTCTGCCTAGCCCAGGCCACTACCTGGATGCCTGCTGCCCCCAGCCCACTGAAGTTGTGAGTACTATTCCTATCCCCTGCCCCTCTGAGCCCTGATCTAGGTACGATCTGTGCATTCATTGCTTTGTTCAGCAACATTGATTACTGAGCACCTATTCTAGGCCAGGCACAGTTCCAGGTACTGAGTCATGTGGAGACAGCCAAAAACAACGTTATCAGATAATTTCTGGCGATAAAAGAAAATAGGGTTCCAGATGGAGAAAGGTGATGTGTATGACATGTATGGCACATAATCAGCACTTCTGAGAATGGTAGTTAAGAGAAAAAACAGCTTCTGTCCTTTGAGTGAGTACTGTGTTCCAGATTATTGACATTATTATTTCTCCCAACAACCCTGACAGCTGGGTTTTTTTTTTTTTTTTTTTTTTTTTTTTAAAAGATGACCGGTAAGGGGATCTTAACCCTTGACTTGGTGTTGTCAGCACCACGCTCACCCAAGTGAGCGAAACGGCCATCCCTATATAGGGATCCGAACCCGCGGCCTTTGTGTTATCAACTCCATACTCTCCCGAGTGAGCCATGGGCCGGCCTGAGCTGGGTATTTTTTTAAACCTATATATTTTTTCTTTTTTCTTTTGGTGGCCAGCTGGTACAAGATATATTTTTTCTGATTACAAAAAGTATTGTTTACAAAGTATGCACATAGTAATATATGGAAAGAAGCATAGATCACTTTTTAAACCAGCTCTCTAACCCAAAGTTGCTACATTTTGTGTACGTCCCTTGTATACTAACATACAGTACTGTCACTGCTGTATTTTACTATTATTTGGCAAAAATGGGATCATACCACTTCAACTATTTCATCACAACTGCTTTTAAGCTTGACATCACACCTTGGCTATCTATCCATGCCTGTACCTGTAGATAGGTAAGTATCATTACCCTCCTTTTGCAGGGGAGTAACTGGCTTAGGAAGGTTGAGTCACTTCTCCAGGGTTACATGGGAGAGCCTTGTTCAGCAAATTACTCCACAAGTGTTAGTTGAAACAGAATCCTCAGGAGAGAAGCCTGGCTCGCAGAAGACAGGCCATTTTTGCATTTCTGGGTTTAAACATGTTAAATGTAATCGACTACCATCCTAGGCTATGATTATTTTGGGCTCAGAGATTTAGACAGCAAAGCTCCTGCCTGCCCTTGGAGCAGTGACCTTCCCCAGGAGGGAAGAGGAGGATAAAAGACCAAGCCCCAGCAAATTCATGTCTTGGGCTGACTATGATTGGTGCAAATCCTTGGCAGATGTTTTGAGTTTCAAAATAAATGTGGGAGGGCTGGCCCGTGGCTCACTCGGTAGAGTGCGGTGCTGATAACACCAAGGCCACGGGTTCGGATCCTATATAGGGATGGCCGGTTTGCTCACTGGCTGAGCGTGGTGCTGACAACACCAGGCCAAGGGTTGAGATCCCCTTAGCGGTCATCCTTTTAAAAAAAAAAAAAAAAAAAAAAGGGGGGGCAAGGAGCTCTCCTGCTTCAAATAATCCGCTTCTGGTTTCCCAGGGGTAGCCAGGAGAGAGGTTCCAGGGTTGGGGCAGAGGGTCAAAGGGGAAACAAGAGGAGACCTTGGGTTCTAAAAACTGCTGTTTTGTGGGAGAGCCTCAGTTACAAAATGGTTTCCAGCCCCCTGTCCTGGGCATGCCGTACCCTTCCTCTTCTGTGCACACAAAATGGTTAGGGATTCATCTTCTCCTTGGGAGAGAAGATGGGGTGAGGTGCACTGTAAGAGGGACTGGGTTTTCCCACCTTCCCCTCCTGGGCTGTAGGAACTTCCAAACCTGGAGACTTCAGGACGTGATTCTCTCTGGCTCCTGCTAGAGCCTGGAAGGGATCTAGAGTGGCAGGGGGCCAGGCAGGGTCATTCTGTCCTTGAGCTGTCTTGGCACAAAGTACATTTAACTCTCTTTGTTCTTCAGTTTCCTTAAAGAAACAATAACAACCATGAAGGTTACAAAGCTCTTGCTCATTTTATAGTTGTAGGCACTGAGGCTTACAGAGGCTTGAGTGACTTGCCTGAGGTTATACAGCTTGGCCAGCCAGAACACACACCCAGGTTTCTCTTCCTTTCAGGGGGAGAAACCTGCCTGCTTTGCTTCTTTCACAGGCATACTGAGAGGATCTCATTCATTTGCTCATTCATTTGCTCATTCATTCACTCACCAAAGATTTATGGAGTTATTACTGTTGAGGCACTGCTGAGCCCTGGGGGCTCAGCAGAAACAAAACAGACAAGGTCACGGTCCTCCCAGGGCTTACATGCTGGTGGTAAACAGAAATACATTGGTAGTAACAGTGGAGTGTGAGAGCTGATGTGCTAAAGTGCAGTGGTTGGTTCTCAGCCCTGTGTGTGATCAGAAGCAGGTGTGGGACTTAAAAGCAAAGCTGGGCCTCCGGGTAGTCTGGGATGAGACTGTAGTTTGTGAATTTTTAGCCAGTTCTCACATGATTCCGATGGACACCAGGGTTAAGAACTACTGATAAGGAGAAATAGAGCTGTGATGTCAACAACAGCTCTCTTTCACTGAGTGCTCACTATGTACCATGCATTGTGCTTAGTTCTTTCCCCTGATTCTCCATAAGGATGCCACAAAGTTGGTGTGAGGAAACTGAGGCTCAAAACATATATTAACCAAGCTTAGATTCAATTCCAGGCCTTACCGACTCTAGGGTCTGTGCTCTAACCAGTAACAATGATGGCTGGACCTCACAAAGTCAAAAAGAAAAAAATCAAAGTGAAAAAGTCTCCCAAGAGCTGAGAGAAACACAAGGGTTAACAGTCTTGTGGAGTCCTTGTTTAATGTACTTAAACAGCAGATTCTTTCCAGAAGCCACATGGCTGCTTGTGAGAGTGGAGAAATCCATTAGCCAGTTATTAATGACTAGATCTAAACCTTTCCAGTGGACAGAGCCAAGAAATGCATTTAATACCCTCTTTTCTGAGGTAAGAGCAGTGGAGCCTTTTTCAGCCACCAGTTCTGTGCACAGAATGATGGTGTGGTCCTCCAGAAGCCCACAGAGCCTATTTCATCCCCAGATTGGGACTCCCTAGAGACGCCCCAAACCGCACCCTCACCAAACACAAGCAAACAAACCACTTCTCTCTCACCCTCTTTCCCTTCCACCATGACACTTCTAGTTTCCTCCCCGAGAGGCAGTTCTGTTGGCAGTAGCACAGCCCAATTCAGATCCCTCTCCCTGTAGGTGGCTGCTCCCCTCCCCTCACTGGAGACCCTAGTGATATCTGATCTCACCAGTCATCTGACACTGCACCCCAAAACCTCAGCTGTTGAAAAGGTCATTCCCCTATTCCTGGCTTGGCTTGGTTTCTGATTGAGCTGTGCAACTGTGACACTAGTTCTGCCTCTGGCCTCAAGGAGCCAATCTTCTGTCACATAGCCATCTGGGTGTGTCCCACTCTAGCCACTTGGCCTGTCTCCAGTCCATGCCTGAGGCAGTTGCAGGTCATCCCTTCCAGGGCAGGGGGGCAGTGGGTTGGAGGGGGCCAGTTCTCCCTTCCTGTGCCTAAGGACATGCTGTTCCTATTCCCCAAGAGACAGACCTTCTGTTTCCCCGGGAGCTGAGAAGCCTTCTTTTTTCCTTGCCGAAAGAGGAAAAAACATAGGCTTAGATTCATCCATTCATTCAACATTCCTCTGTATCTCAGACACCTGCTGAGGGTGAATCCCTACACTAACTCAGTGGAGAACACGAGATGAACTGTACCTGCCCTTGCAGGCCCAGGAAGAAGCTGATGTTCCTAGCCCTGGGAGGCAGGGACTCCAGGGGAATCACAGGACTGGAGCAAGCAGACCCTGCTCCCTCTCAGCTCCATTCCCTAATTGTATTCCTTTGGGCAAGTCACTCCCCTCTAAGCCTCTATTTCCCCTTTTGTAAAGAGGCCCACTGCTCAGGGTTCTGATAATGAAAAGAGAAATAACTCTTTTTAGAACATTAACTGGCCAGCCTCCAAAAAAAATTTTTTTTTTAATATAGAAATTGCCATTTTCAAGGAAAACTGGATTTTTTTTAACCATTCATGAATGTAGTCTGTGCCTTGCACAGAGAGTAGGTGCTCAAAAATGATTAACAAGATCCTACAGTTTGGTCTCATGCCAAGGAAGAAGTCCATAAAACCCACAAGTTATTTTCATGATGGACAGAAAGATGTGTGTGTGCTTTCTGTTATTGACTCTCAACTGCACAAGGCCATGAGGATGTGGCAGGACTATCTCTGAGCTGGACACTGGGACACCCAAATTCTAGCATGGGACCCAGGGCCAGTTGCTCTCTGGTCCTCAGTCTGCTCACCCATAAACTGGGAAGACAGAGAGAACCCCTACTAGTTCCTTCCAGCTCCTGAACTTTGCTGTTTGGGACATTGCTTCATGGCTGATTTCTCAACAGCACAGAGAATTGCTTTGTTTCACAAAGCGGTGGATGGTAGCCTCTGCTCCACTGGGCCAGTGAGACTTCCCAGGCCTCTTTGTTCCCTTCGCCTCTCAGAGGGAAACAGACAGAGGCTGTGGTCCCACCGTCCCCATCCCTCTCTCCTCTCCCTCAGGGCTGGGCCCCACGGTGCCCTCGCTGCTGCCCACTCTGTGACTGTGCCTGTGCTTGCCAACTTCCCGACTGCCAGAGCCTCAACTGTCTCTGCTTTGAGATCAAGCTCCGATGAGGACCCAAGATCTATGCCCTTTGGGGAGCGGCCAGCCCCAGGGCCCACATGCCCTCCTCCCTAAGGGGCCTCCAGACACCTTTCTTCAGGCCACTGGAAGCACCAATGGCCTGCTCAGCTTGCTGTGGAGGGCCTGGCTCCCTGCAGGGCTGAACTCAGAGAGCCAGCAGGACTGCAGCCCCTTTGTAGGGCCAGAAGAGAGAGGAGCTAGTGTGCCCGCAGGTGCCCCTGCCCCCTCTTCCCCTCCCCATTAAACTATTATATATAACTATTATATATATATTATATATAAACACCGCTCACCATAGACAGCATTACAGGAGGAACTTGGGCCTTGAGTACAGGATATACGGCTGCTCCAACCTTGCCCCCGACCATGGACTTGGGGTTATTTTAGGAGATGAGTATAGTGCCTACATCTGCTCTTCCTCTTAAAAAATGGGCTCCAAGGGCCGGCCCGTGGCTCACTTGGGAAAATGTGGTCCTGATAACACCAAGGCCACGGGTTCGAATTCCTATATAGGGATGGCCGGTTAGCTCACTGGGTGAGCCTGGTGCTGACAACACCAAGTCAAGGGTTAAGATCCCCTTACGGGTCATCTTTAAAAAAAAAAAAAAAAAAAGGCTCCAGAGAATGACAGCAGCCAATATCAAGGCCCCAGTAGTCAAGGGAGGAGGGAATCAGAGAGGGAGCCAGCGGGAAGGAGGCAGGGAGGGCCGCGGGATCCTCTACCCCTTTCCCTCCCCACAGATCCCTGTCCAAAGATTTCTCTGACATCCAAGGACCTCAATCTGGATATCCAAGGAAGAAATTTCCTCTGAAGTACCGGTGAGTGGGGGGGGGGGGGCCCCCCCGGGGGGGGGCTCCCCTCCCCCACAGTAGGGCAGACCCTAGACTTCCCTTTTCCTACATACTGGGCCCCACGCTGGCATGAATGTCATGGGCTTCAGGTTTCCCTAAATATAGGTCCCTGCCGGGGGATCCGTGGCGGGGAAAGGGCAGGGGTCACCGGAGATCGGGGACATCTGTGCGGGGGAGGGCAGGAGCTGCCTTATAACCCAGCCCGGGTACTCCTGGCTCACTCGCTGCTACCAGGCTCTGCCGGCTCCTTCAGTCTCGCCGCAGGTGGGCCGCTAGCAGGGTGGGGTTGGGCCGAAGGGGTCGGGATAAGGGGGGTGGGGGAGCTCGGAAAGTATCTGGGAGGAAGATCAGCTCAGGGATGGATTTTATTTTGGAGAAGAAAGTCAGGTCCAAAGAAGACGTATCGCAGGCTCCGTGGCCCTGCATCCCCGACACTCGCTTGGGTCGAGCCGTGGCCAGTTTCCGCATAAACTGGTTTTCGGTGGCGGCCGGGGACTACGGACCTGTCTGCACCGGCCCCGAGAGAGATCGTATGCGCGTGCTAGGCTGGCTTCCCGGCCAGGGAGTCGGGCCCGCGCGGATGAGGGCAAGGCCTCGCCTCCGCTCCCTGCCAGCCCCGGCCGTCCCCTTGTTCTTCGTGTCCGTCGGCTCTGCGCCCTGCGCAGTGCAGCCCGCGGGCGAGGCAGGCAAACGCCCGGCCTCTCGACGGTTACAGCGTGACACACGCTGCAGCCACGCAGGCCGGAAGCTGGGGCTGCCACGAGCCGCCCGGCTGGGCCTAGGAGGGGAAGCCGCGCCTTCATCCTTTCCGAGTCTGCCACCCGCTTTCCCCATCTCCCATCCCCGTCTCCTCCGGTGCCAACATTCCGGCTGAGTCACAGCACCCCAGAGCGCGCCAGGCGGGGGAAAAAGCGAGAAGGGGAGTAGGGCCCTGGCGACCCGCGGGATGTGGCCCAAGTCACGTCCGAGGGGGGAGGGGGAAAGATCAGGTTCTCGCCGCCCCGTCCTCTCCGGAGCGCAGCCTCCGGGCTTCGCCTCTCGGGGGCGGCCTCGTGCGCGGTTCCTCCCCTGCAATTGGACGCCGTTCACTCCCGGCAGAGGAAAAACTGGGCGGAGCGAGCAGCGGTGCCTTTAAAAGGCTGGGCACCGCCTCTCGCACCCCGCGCCGCCCCCTCGGGAGCTGAATAGGCTGCGTCCCTACCCGAACGCGCCGCAGAGCCGGGTGCTGGTGACGGCTGCCGCGTTCGCTCGCCCTGTCCGCTCTCCGGCCCGCCGCGCCCCGCAAGCCCGCCCCTCTCCCGGGCCAGGTGAGCGACCCTCGCCACGTGCGACGGCCTGGGACCCTGGGGAAGGATCTTGGCGGCAGTGGCGGG